GAACTGCTAAATTTGGAACGTAAACAAAGAATTAATTTGAATTTATATAGCTAGGGCAAGCCAAAGTGCTTTACACTCAAACAATAAATGATTAACTTCAAAAGTAATTATGTAGGCAATTTATGCATAGCAAGAGCCAACGAGAATGAAATAACTAACTATTTGGTTGGTTGGTTGCTAGGGATTACTGGTTGAAGGGTAGAGGGAGGGAGGAGGGTTGGGTGAAAAAAAAACAAATCTAAAGGATTGGAAGGGTGGACGGTTGAATGACTGAACAGGAAGGCTATAGGGACAGGGGACAAGTGCCTGCAGCCATGATTCAGGTGCCCAGCAGGAAACGTTGCCTGTCCACAGCCAGGGAAAGGGATCTCTTACAAAGCAAGAAATCAACTTGATCAGGGATATGAGGAGAACTAGTTATTATAACCACGTGAGAACCAGAAAAACAAAGAGTGCGCCATTGAGAGAGCATCAGGAGGTAGTCACTAGTTTAAGAAGAATGGTCTCATGGGTTATTAAGACATTAGATTAATACTTGAGCCTCTTGCTAATCAATCCAAAAACTAAAAACGTGGTTGATGGGCTGGTGTGCCTGCTCTGGCACCAGTACCTGGACAGGAAGGAGTTTTATGGGAACAGAGCTAAGAAACTATCAGAAAGAATGGATAGGACTAGAGAAACATTCTTAAGTGCAGAGGGGAACAGATCCAGGTGGAAAGTGTAATAAAACATTCAAATAGTTCCAAGGGCTCTTGTGGCACAGTGGTAGTGCCTCTACTTCTGAACCAGGACACCTGGGTTCAAGCCCCACCTGCTCCAGAGGTGCTGTAGTGATTGAAATGAGGTTGGCCAGGTGGATCTCATTGAATACAAGTTCCCTAATTGGTCCAGGTTAACAATCCCAATCAGGGAGTCGTGGCTGACAGACAAACAGAAGTGTCAAGGATTCTCCTCACTCTAGGGACTGGCTCTGAGCTGGCTGGTCAGAGTCTATGTAATGTGCACGTGTTAAGAAAGGGTGGCTAGGTGATGGGATACCAGCCTCGGTGGAGTTATTTCAGGTGTGTAATAACATCTACAGGAAACAAAAAAAATAAAGAAATGCCAAGTCATCCAATCAACATACAGGAGGAAGGATTAGAATATTTTCTAAACAGCGAGAGGTTAGCTATTGTGGAGGACCCAAAGACTTTGGATGACCATGTACACAAATCACTTAAAGGTAATGCAAAGGTACAAGTAGTAATCAAATGGCTAATGTTGGCTTATAACTCTACAAGGTTGGAATGGAAAGAGGAGAAAATATAAAAAGCTGGCAATCTGAAATAAAAACAAAGTGTTGAAGAAACTCAGCAGGTCTGGAAGTACCTGTGGAGACAGAAACAGAATAAATATTGAGTTGAGTATGTCTCTTCTTTGAAGCTAAGGAAGAAAATATGTCCAGTTGTAGAGGTTTTGTTGGGCTCTATACGGAGCCCTGTGCTTGATTCAAGGCCAAGTATTCTCAGGAAATGTATGTTAGCCTTGGAGGGGGCATACCTGGAGCTTTACTGAAACGGTGGGGGCTGAAAGGGCTGATTATCATGAACATGGTTAGGAAACATGACATGTTTATGCTAATATTTAGAGAGTTGATAGTGTTTAAGATAATAGGAGGAGTCAATAGGATTGACTCAGAGAAGCTACTTCTTTTGATAAGTGAATCTAGAGTAAGGTTGCACAGTGTAAAATTGTGCAGGGAGAGAGGGCTTTATTCTTTTTTCTCTGTGCATTTGTGGGATGTGGGCATCGCTGGCTGGCCAGCATTTCTTGCCCATCCCTAGTTGCCCTTGAGAAGGTGGTGGTGAGCTGCCTTCCTCCTGCTGTGGGTTGACCCACAATGCTATTAGGGAGGGAATTCCAGGATTTTGACCAGGCAACAGTGAAGGAAGGGCGATATATTTCCAAGTCGGGATGGTGAGTGACTTAGAGGGGAACTTGGAGGTGGTGATGTTCCCATATGTCTGCTGCCCTTGTCCTTCTAGATGGAAGTGGTCGCGGGTTTGGAAGGTGCTGTCTGAGGATCTTTGGTGAATTTCTGCAGTGCATCTTGTAGATGATACACACTGTGCTACTGACCGTCGGTGGTGAAGGGCAATTGTGGAACTCAGCCCACCAAGTGGCTGAGGACTCTGGTAGAGTGATTAAGGTTGAGGCTGACAACTTTACGGGATGAGATCATTCTTTATGGATAAAAAGGTAGGTTGAGATATAGGTCCACTATAGTCTAATTAAGCAAAGCAAACTTAAGCTGAACAGCCAACATAGCTGACTTGCAGAAGGGAGAGGATGCAAGGAGAGAGAAGGACAGAGGGGGAAGCTACCTTCTCTCAGTCATGTATATTTTGGTCAGAAATTTGGAGAATTTTGTGAAAGCAACATGTTTCATTGCGGTGCCCTGCCAAATAATCGTGCAACTGGGTACCACTCAAACTGAGTGCAGGGTCAGTGGGTAGAGTTCATTCCTTACCAGTCATAGCTTGTCAAGAAAGCTGCCCAGATGTGTCACTCAGGAGCACTCAGACAGACCAAGGAATTTGTAAACTACATATTTCCTCCACATTTTAAGAGGAGAGAAAGGATGTTTGAAGCAACAGGTTCCCAAAAATATTCTTCCAAGCTCTGCAGCTTGTTTGTAAATTAATCAAGGTCACCAGCATTTCAGCAGACACATATGTTATTAATGCAGCTCTGAGCTGTTGGGACATTGGAAACTTTAGAAACCTTTAACTCAACTTTAGCAGCTGGTTAATCCTTCGGCATCAGCAGCAGCTCAGCAAATGTCTGTTGCAAATGACCGACAACTCATAAGTCTATATACGGCACAAACATGATCCACCTATAAAAGCACTAGGATTTCTTTTTGGACAAATATTCATCACAAAAACCATCAAAATTCTTTGAGTTTCAGCCCCTTTCCTCTCTCCTCCAACACCCCCCAAAAACTTCCCTTGTTTGATATTGTTCGGTTATCCCCAATCTGAAAGGAATTTCGATTATATGTGAAGAGTCCTTCCCAGCCAAAAACTAAAACAAGTCATTGGTTAATGCTGCAAATACCTGCCACAGAATTTTTCAATTTCCATGAAAAGTTGAAAGAAAACACAAGGCAGCAAGCTTGATTTTTAAATACCATGTAGATGACTGGAAAATTGCAAGTGCTTAATTGGAGAAAAAAATTACAGAACCATCATTGGATACACTAGAATGACAAGGTACCCATTTCAAGATTCAACTGACACTATGAATGGCAAAAGTAAAATGCATCTCAACCCCTGAAAGAAGACTACTATCCCCCAAATCACTTGCTCACCAATCTTCAATTTTTTCAAGCATTCACATTTTGGCAGCTGATGTATAAAGGATTCTGCATTTGATCTTCAGTCAATTTCAGTCATCCCAGTGGAAACGGTTCTGCAAATATACTGCATATTCCTTCATTGGAATAACACAATAGATTGGCAATGAATTGATGCTTCTTGACCAATCTTTGCAAGCAATATGCTGTCAAAAACGCAAGGGTAATTTGCAATAGGGCATAGCAGTTATGCCTCTGCAGTCAAATAATCTTTCATGTTCACAGTGAGTAAGTGAGGCAAGATGACGCACCATTGGTGAGTTTGTGGGGGTGAATTTATTTGTGTGCATGTGTTTGTGAGGGTGGGGTTGGAGACAATGAAATTTAACAGGAAAATAATTTTGAGCACGTGTGCTCAAGGTAAGAAAGGTTTCAATCACACAAAAGTCAAAAGCTTTTGTTTTAGCATTAGACATTGATAATTATTCCACATCATAAAAAAAAAAGTACATCTCTTCCACTCTGTCCCTTCCTACCCCAACAGTAGTTACGTATTCCAACACCTATTTGAGCTTTTTATGGACTTCATGCAGACATGTCAGTGCTGCTCTCAAGCCTAGCACTTATCATGGCAAATGGGGATAGGCAATGAGATGGTGGTGTGCTACCATTTGTTAACTGATTGACTTGCTTAGCCATCCAAGTGTTAACTGTATTGCTGTAGGTCAGGAATTACAAAAAAAGTCAGATTTGGTCAGGATGACAGTTTTTCTTCCCATAAGGCATAAGTGAATCAGACAAGGTTTTTCTCTAACAATCAGATTGTTTCATACTCATCACACTAGATTTCATTTCAGAAATACATTATTAACTGATAATGAATTTCTGTAGCGGCTGAGGTGGGATTTGAACCTGGGGCTCTGGATCATTACTCCAGACTTGTGCGTTACTAGTTTTGTAACATAGCCACAATGCTGATGTTCCATTGCTGTGTTGGTGTTAAAGCGGCTGGTTTTATCCTGTGATCCAACGTCTACCAGAATTTGGGGTGAGATGCATTTACTCCATACCCTTGCAGAGCACTATAATGAAAATGAATCCCATCTGCAAACTACCATCATCTAGAGCTGTAATCCCACTTCTCCAAAACATATTTCTCCTTTCTGGCTAACCAGAATGCACCATGCAGCTGATAATGTTTCAACAGCGGCAAGTTTTGTTACAAACTTAAATGATAATCCGTAGTTCACTAACAGAATAATTATCAGCGTAAGTTATAAATGGACACAAGAACTTAGTCATTTTACTTTAATTACATCAATCACCAAACTTTTGCACCTCAATGCTGAAAGGAAAATTGATTGGAAATGTTAAATTCTTCCTTAAATACAACCTGGAACTAAACTAAATAAGTTGAGTCACGTTTTAGGCTGCATATTGTGCACTTATGAATTATACAGGAATGCCTGTTTCTGCTATTGCCCACCGGACATGATGTGAAACAGAGCGTGGGAATAGCTGCGCTGCAGACAGAAGGTTTATGATAATCCTCTGATAAAAGTATCTCTTTCAAGAGTAGATCAACATCGAAGCCAGGGCAGGTCTCAGTTTTGCAGCTATCACTGCCAAATGGTTTTGATATAAAGGAAAAACACCAACGTACCTTCCTACAAGCTTAAACCAATGGAAGCGGTCGTAAAACGGGTCACTGCCTGTCATTATGGTTTCACTGTCATCTTGTGTGGCAGAGGCCATCTCTCCAGCACGATCATACATTTCACGCATTAGCTCCAATCTCTGCCTGCACAGACAAAGCACACTTGTATAGAACATGGTTACAACATTGCAAGAGTAATCGGAGTTTTTCTTTCCTCCTATGAAATTGGCAAACTCAAGGTTCACCTAAATGTGAATACTCTCAACTGCTGCATAGGAAGATAATGTGTCTACATTTTGCTCCCTAGTAAGTATCAGTGCAAATTGGGCCAATGCAACTGCTGAAGATACAGAAGCTTCAACACACACACACACACACACACACACACACCAACAGGTTCAAGAACAGCTTCTTCCCTGCCATTATTAGACTGCTGAATGGACTCTCAACTTCAAAGAATGTTGATCTTGCTTCACACACTTCCTGTGCAGTGTAACCTGTATGTCTCACCCTGTCTGAACACCCCATGACCTGTATGCCCTTGCTTAGTCTGATCTGCCTCTATTGCTCACAGACGAAGCTTTTCACTGTTACTTAGGTACATGTGACAACAATATATCAAATCAATTTATTTAGAAAGTGAATACCACAAGCCACAGCCTGCAGCTCATGGACTGATACACTCAACTGTGTAATGGGCATTCTGTAGCACACAGCAGCAGGAATGGTTCTCTCCTTTCTCCAGGGAGACAAAGCAGAGCAGAAAAAAAGAAATGGGCACAGATGAGGTAATTGCCAAGAGAGAACGTGATAGGAAATTGCGATTCGGTCTGTTTAGCTCGCAACACCAATCTTTTGTTCAGGGATTGGGAAATTACACAAGACAACTAAAGAAACGAAAAGGAAATTAACATTAAAATGGGGGCAGAGCACGAAAAACATGGTGTTTACTTGACATGCTTTCCTCAGTACTGTAAAACTGCATAGTAACTCAATGTGGTCGTTCAAGTTCCCTATTTCAGTTGGTGAATAAATTCTCCCATAGAACTGACAGTTTTAAAAATAAAACAACGAAGGTGATGAAATGAATGCAAGAATGTAATTGTTTCGGTTCACACAGCATCTTCTTTCATTTTAGGGTTCTCAAGACAATTCATCAACACTCCTCATTTCTGTGTTATACCAATGGCATACTGAAGATAAAGTAATTTCATGCTGGATCACATCCCAGCTGTATTTAAGGAAATAAGTTTGATCCATGAATTATCATTGCACGTGGCGCCAGGACCTGGGAGCTAAGTTTTGGAGAGGAAGCTGTTGCAAACTCCTCGTTTGCAGACAATGACCTAGCTGTTGTGCATACTGCATGGTCTCACAGACAGCCAGCCCACCACTGTGTAATTTCACTACTCCCATGTGTGCTATCCAGCAACCTTTTTCTCTCCAAATCTCAGTTCCCAACTGCGTGTGTGCTGGATCAAACTGGAATTAATGGATCAAACTTCCTTCCTTAACTACAGTTGTCTTGGAGAAAAGAATGTGACCCAGCATGAAATTATTTTATCTTCAGTATGCCATTAGTACAGCAGTAGAGAGAAAGATGCTACAGCTGTGTCTGCTGCAATGTGGCTGATTGTTAAATGTCCTTAAACAACACTCAGGTCAAGGTCACGTAAGGACGTGCAATGAACGTTGGCTTTGTCAGCGACAACCACGTCCCATGAAAAGAAATAGAGAAGTAAATCCATGTGTCACATTAAGACCACATCAATAGTTGTTTGGTGGTTAAAACAAGAAGTTGAAAATTGCTGAAAAAAATACACAATATTTAAACAGGGCTGGCAATTAACTGTTAATCATCATTAACTGGTGCATTATCCACAGCAATGCCTCTACCAGAGTCCATTTGCCAATCATTCAGTAATTGTCTCACTATAAGTATTGCTTTCTCCTCATTTTCATATTTCTTACAAATTCTTTGCAAGAGTGCAAAATGAAAAGGTTTGACAATATCTGTCTTTCTTTCAGCACTATTTCACCATTAAATAGAGGAAGATTAGGAAATCCCCCAGTTATGATATCATGACGCATTGTGGAAATACCTTCCAGAAATTTATCATGGATGCAGTCTAGGAAATATAGTTTAAAGTGGAGAAGGAAGGTATTTCACTCAGGTTATAAAATAGGATATTGTCAAATATAACACAAGTAGCATGCCAGAAGATTCAGCAAGCACTTAAGCAAACCTTACTTGAGTTTTTCCAAGGACCAATAATGTGTTGCACCATTCTTCAGATCTTGTACCTCCACTGCAACAACGGTTCTTGGGAATTGTTGAACTTCACGATCTGATTCAGCCTCAGCAGGGAGTAATTCAGGTGGAAGAGGGGAGTATAGAGTGTCTGTGAGCAACACAAACTGGAATTGCACCTGGACACAGCGTGGGTGGTGGGGAGGTGGGGGTTAAGGAAGAAAAATCAATTATAAAACCACCAGCAGTCAATAGTCTCGTGTCTTCTTCCCCAAATCAGTAAGCAACTTAACATGTGATATTTTTCAGGAATAACAAATTACAATATTGTCACATTACTGAAGCAAGGATGCACTTGCTTTAGACATAGTGCCACCTAGATTCATTAGATTTATTTCTGGGTTAAGGGGATTGTCACAGGACAACGGATCAAGTACACCAGATCCAAACTGTCCACAGTTTAGATGGGATATGAACTTACTGAAATATAAAATGCACAAAGGGCTTTACAGGGTAAACGTTGAGAGGATGCTCGCACTGCCTAGAAAATCTAAAATTAGGGGTGACTTTCTCGGGACAAGTTGCCGATCATTCATATCGGAGATGAAAATTCTGTTTTCACTCAAACTTTTTGTGAATCTGATATTCTGTACCCTAGAGGGCTGTGGATACTCAGTCGGTGTACAGTAAGGCAGAGGTCAGTAGATTTGTGGATACCAATGGATTAGTGTGGGGGAAGAGAGAATCGGCCAAGATCTAATTGAAAGGTGGAACAGGTTGAAAGGGTTCTATGATATACTTCAGCTCCAAAGTCCAATGCTACAGTGCAGTATAAAAATCCACCACTCTTATCACATGAAGCACATACTAAACCTCAAAGACATTCTTTCCACAGCCTTTTGCAAATTAACACTTACTAATTTTACACTGTGGATTAATATTCCAGCCACACATTAGGAAGAGTTATTTGATCCAACTCGCTCATGACTCAGAGGGACAGATCAGGTTTTACAAAAGTGTGTTTTATCTCTTTTTAAAAAAAAAGTGGAAAAAAATTAAGACCTATTTCTCAGCAAAGAGCCTAAAAAATGTAAATATTTGTTCCTTAAGCATGTTTGTCAATCCTCTAAAACTGGTGACTAATTAATGTTGATTTGTCTGAAACGATCTTCCCATCTCTACCCTACAGCACGGGCATCAGTATATAATTGAAAAAGAAACATCAGCAATTCTTTCCTGACATCAACTTTCAGAGCAGCGTTCATTTGTGAATAATGTCTGTGTTTTTCGGAACAGTACATTCCAGACCAGAATAGCACAAGCCCAGCACAGTCAGCAGTAACCACAGGCCAGTATTTCTGAGCAGTCAACAACAGATTTCAGTTTAGAATCGATTTAAGTTAAACAAGGGCATGAGGAAAGTTCACAAAAAACTAAAAACTTAACCAGTGGATAATGTTATTGAGCGCTGCACCATAATGCCATGCAGTACCTTTTTCTTCAGCTCAACGCTAATAGCATTAGCCTCCTTCAGATAGACAGCATTCCCCCAAAGTAAGTCGCGCAAAGATGTAAACTGATGATACTTCCATTTTCTGAATGCCCACTCTGCCAGCTCATAATCACGTTGGGTCCAGGGCACTATAGTGGAAAACAAGATTCACAGAACATTTAGGACAGAAACTTATCAATGGTCACTCATGGCCAGGCACTGGGAATCATTAAAACATTTCAGCTTTGATTTTCTGACTGTATCACTGATGGTAACCCCTTTAAAATAGTTCCAGATGGCATTACAATAAGACTGTTGTTTTCTGGCATACACCAAGAGCATGCAGGTTGATTGGATTTTCTGGCAGCAAGACCCTTTAACCCAATCATCATCTCTAACCAGCAATACAGTGTAGTTTCTTTATTGACTAAAGCTCCTATTTAGTTGGTTAGCTCAGTTGGCTGGATGGCTGGTTTGTGATATAATGACACAAACAGCATGGGTTCAATTCCTGCACTTGCTGCATGAAGGACTCTCCTTTTCACCCCCTCTCTTTCACCTCAGGTTAAACCACCACTAGTTGTTTCTCTCTCTCTCTCTCTCTCTCTAATGGGAGAGCAGCCTCCTGGTCCCACTTTTATTTAATATCATAACCAAACCTGCTCACTTTGCCTTGGAAACTGAAAACCTTCACAGATTTACATTTCAAAAAAAAAAAGATCAAAACTTTATGTAAAAAAGAATTCATTAACACAATAACAGCTGATAGGGTCAGAGTTGTAGAGATGTATAGCACAGAAACAGACCCTTCAGTCTAACTTGTCCATGCCGACCAGATAGCCGATATAAATTTAGTCCCATTTGCCAGCATTTGGCCCATATCCCTCTAAACCCTTCCTATTCATGTACCCATCCAGATGCCTTTTAAATGTTGGAATTATACCAGCACCTCCTCTGGCAGCTCATTTCATACATGCACCGCCCTCTGCATGGAAAAGTTGCCCCTTAGGTCCCTTTTATATCTTTCCCCTCTCACCTTAAACCTATGTCCTCTAGTTTTGGACTCCCCCCACCCCGGGGAAAAGACCTTGTCTATCCTATCCATGCCCTTCATGATTTTATAAACCTCTATAAAGGTCACCCCTCAGCCTCCGACACTCCAGGAAAAATAGCCCCAGCCTATTCAGCCTCTCCCTATAGCTCAAACCCTCCAACCCTGGCAACATCCTTGTAAATCTTTTCTGCACCCTTTCTAGTTTAATGACATCTTTCCTATAGCAGGGAGACCAGAATTGAACACTTGATTATTCCAAAAATGGCCTAACTGACATTCTGTACAGCCGCAACACAACATCCAAACTCCTAGACTCAATGCACTGACCAATAAAGACAAGCATACCAAACGCTTTCTTCACTACTGTTTACCTGCAGCTCTACCCTTCAAGGATCTATGAACCTGCATGCCGAGGTCTCTTTGTTCATCAACACTCCCCAGGATCCTATCATTATGTGTATATGTCCTGTCCTGATATGCCTTACTAAAATGGAACATCTCACATTTATCTTAAATCAACTCCACCTACCACTCCTCAGCCCAGCTGATCAACATTCCATTGTATTCTGATAAGCCTTTTTCACTGTCCACTATAATGCCAATTTTGGTGTCAACTGCAAAGTTACTAACCTTTCCTCCGCTGTTCATATCTAAATCATCTATATAAACGACAAAAAGCAGTGGGCCCAGCATCGATCCTTACGGCACACAGCTGGTTGCAGGCCTCCAGTCCGAAAAACAAACTCCCACCACCGTCTCCTCATGTACGTGTGAGACTCAGTTAGACTACCAGGTGACAAGAACAAAATAGCTTTTCTCATATCAGTCCCTTCTGCAGTAGTGACTCCAACAGGTCAGCTCTAACCAGAGATGCTGCTGATCCTCACAAGCTGGACTGTGTTAGATAGTCCTCGACTTTTGAAGAACAAAGATACAGCAAAGTTCAGAAATTCTGGTTGGAATGCTGCTGCATAACAGGTTTTTGTTTTAAAACACAGGAGAACCTGAAAACCTGAGCCATGCTCTAAATCACAGCTTGATTCAATGGAGGGAATCCAGTTAGCTTATCACTACCACAAGTCCAAAGAGAAAACATTTAAATCCTGGTAACAATTTTTGCAATCAAATATCAACAATTAATTTGTTAAATATTTAGTGAGGAGGAACTTCATGGTCAATGATTTTCTTTTTCTCTTAAACCCAAAGGACTTCTTTTTAAGTTGAGATTTCAGTATTCTATAGAAAACAAGTTCTGTGTAATAATGAGACACTTAAAATCATAGAATCTTACAGTGTGGAAGCAAGCCATTCAGCCCATTGGAGGACTGGTGTGGACTCAAAGAGCATCTCAGCCAGACCCACCTCTCTACCCTATCCCTGTAATCCTGCATTTCCCATGGCTAATCCGTCAAGCCTACACATCCCTGGACACTATGGACAACTTAAACATGGCCAATCCACCTAAACTGCACATCTTTGGACTGTGGAAGGAAACCAGAGCACTTGAAGGAAATCCACGCAGACACGGGGAGAATGTGCAAACTCCACACAACAGTCGCCCGAGGGTGGAATCAAATCCAAATCCCTGGTGCTGTGAGGCATCAATACTAACCACTGAGCCACAGTGCTGCCAAGCTGAGACACTTCCACAAACATTCACTTCTTCCACCAATGACGCTCAGTAGCAGCAGTGTGTACTATCTGCAAAATACGCTGCAGAAATTCAAAGATTCTCAGACAGCACCTTCCAAACCCATGACCACTTTCATCTAGAAGAACAAGGGCATCAGACATATGGAAACACCACCACCTCCAAATTCCCCTCCAAGTCACTCACCATCCTGACTTGGAAATATATCGCCGTTCTTTCACTGTCGCCTGGTCAAAAACCAACCCACAGCAGGAGGACTGCAGCGGTTCAAGAAGGCAGCTCATCACCACCTTCTCAAGGGGCAACTAGGGATGGGCAAGAAATGCTGGGCCCAGCCAGCGACGCCCACATCCCAGAAAAAAATGAATAGAAAAAAAACAACGTGGGGCTGAGATGCAAGGCTTTTGTCGCTCAAAAACTGGTGTTAATCCAGGTGTGGGTATTTCTGGAAACCACAAAGCATGTCCATCAGGCAATTAACTGCCTGGTGACAAGGCTTCTGCTCTGTAAGGAAAGAGGGGGCTGAGATCCCATCTCCAAGACCAACTGACTATAAGAACCAGCTGCTCTTCAGTCCAAGCCAACTGCAGCTTGCCCCATTAACATCAAAGGCTGAGTTGGTTCTGGAATGAGGGCATGGGTGGGGCTCACTGGAGCCTGTTAGGCAGGTCTCGCAAAGGTGGGGATTCTTGAGGGAGGGGGAGGGAGTCTTTCAGGACCAAAAGAGAGCCCAAACCAGGAACGGGACCCCACTAATCTTCCAAGCACACAAGGAAGCGTTTTTTTCCTGGGCAGCTTCCATATATGGCATGGGAACACCACTACTAGGGGAATATCTATGGAAGTGTGATGAGGCCCTTTAGTAACCTTCCAACAGAAGGGCCACTCTCACCTTTTCTTATCCCTGACTGAATCAAAGGAATTTTGGAAGGCACCAAGTACTGCACCACTGCCTTCCCTACAATTCTACAGCCCCTAAGCACTTTCCCTATTCTCTCCGCACCCTTCCCTCCCACCCGACGCACGATGTGCAATACCAAATCTGTACCATTTTTCATAAGACCTTAAGAAATAGGAACAGGAGTAAGCCATTCAGCCTGCTCTGCCATTCAATAACTGATCCAACATTCCCCCTAATCCTCGATTTCCCTACTGGTCAAGAACCTATCTCAGCTTTAAATATACACAAGGTCTTTACCCCCACAGCTCTGTGACAAGGAGTTCCAAAGGCACTCAACCCTCAACAGAAGAATTCTTCATCTCAGTTTTAAATTGCCCCCCCACCTCCCAGCCCCCCACCTTTATTCTGAGACTGTGCCCTCTGGTCCTAGATTCTCCCACAAAGGGATATATCCTCTCAGCATTTACCCAGCCAACCCCCTTAAAATCCTACATGTTTCAATGAGATCACCTCACATTCTTCTCAACTCCTGAGAGTACAGTCTCAATCTGTGTAACCATTGCTCATATGACCCTCCAAACCAGGGATCATCCTAGTGAACCCTCTCTGAACGGCCTCCACCATCCTTAAATAAGGGAATCAAACCGCTCACAGTACTCCAGACGTGGTCTCACCAACACCTTGTACAGTTGCAGTAAGACTTCCCTACTCACACACTCCAACCCCCTTGAAATATGGGCCAACATTCCATTCACCTTCCCGATTACCTGCTGCAGCTGTGTGCTAGCTTTCGGAGTTCAGGCACAAGTCCCCCTTGCAAGTCCCTTTGTACTGCAGCTTTCTGCAACTGAATGACTTCCAACTGTATTGGTGGCGAGAGCCAAACAAAAAACTGTGGCACATGGTACTTCAAATGTCAACTTTGCACAAACTGTGCATACCTTGACCACTACTTTGAAAAACTGAAATGCATTATTGAGAAATGGATGCCCCATGCCAAATGGGAAATGCCCTTTTCCAATCCTGGGAAGGTTAAAGAGGGTACTAGTTCAGCGCATCTAACCATCTATCACACCTCACCCCCTGGAGTATGCTCGAATATTTTAGGGAGTTAGGGAGCAATTGCTTGGAGTTTTCAGAGATTGGCCAGGCACTTCCATATTCCCCCAGAAAGTTAGATCAGCAACAACTGAGGAGGGCCGTGTAGAAGGCTTCACCATCTGAGAGATAGCATGAACGTGTAGGAGTACTTCCTTGTTTGTTCTTCCACCTGACAGCTGGATAGAACACCAGTACTTATTTGGTCAAATACCTTTGGTACATATGAACACAAGGAATAGGAGCAGGCCATTCCACTCCTCATGCCTGCCCCACCATTCAACAAGCTCATGTTTGATCTACCCCAGGCATCAACTCCTCTTTCATACCAGATCAGCATAACCATCAACTGCCTAAAACTTCAAAAACCTATCTCCACTTTAAATCCTGTCAGTGATCTGGCTTCCACAACACTCTAGGGCAGAGAATTCAAGACTTGCACTGCTCTCTGGGGGGGGGAAGAAATTTCTTCACATATCAGCTTTAAATGAATTCCCCTTATTCTGAACTCTAACCCTAGTTCAAGATTCCCCAAACTAATGGAAACATCTGAGATAACAAGGTGTAGAGCTGGATGAACACAGCAGACCAAGCAGCATCAGAGCAGGAAAGCTGATGTTTCGGGTCTAGACCCTTCTTCAGAAAACTGAGTCAAGTCCCCTGAGATTCACGTGTGTCAATAAGATCATCTCTCATTCTAAATTCCAATGAATAAAGACCCATTCTTGGTAAGTCTGCCCCCTCCATCCTGGCAATGAACCTAATGAGTATCGACGGACCAGCCTCCAATGCCAGTATGTTCTCTTAAATACAGAGACCAAAATTGTACAGAGAACTCCAAGTGCAGCCTCACTAACTGCCTCAATCATTGGAACATGACTTCACTCTTTATAAATTCCAGCCCCCTAGCAATAAAGGCCAAAATTCAATTTGCCTCCTTTAATACTTATCACAGATTTCAGTGTGAAGATGTCAGATCTTGAGGAATAAAAACAATGGTTGCAATCATTTCAGCCAAGGCCAGTGAACAATTCATGTGAATGCAGCTAGATGATGATTGCCATCAATCTCTCAGACTGGCCTGGCTGAATAATGTGCTGCCTATCTCACTCACTCAGCAGGATCTGACCATCTGCCAAACTTGTCTAACGTTCTACTGATGACTGAAGAGAAAGTTGACAAGACTCATTATTGTATTGCTTTGAATGCTCAGAACTTTGGCTACAGTCACTTAATAGACTAGAATCATAGAATCCCTACAGTGTAGGCTGAATGGCCTGCTTCCATTGAGTTCACACTGACCCTCTTAACAGCATCCCACCCAGACCCACCCTGTCACCCTATCCCTGTAACTCTGCAATTCCCTGGACAATCCCACCCAGCCTGCATATCCTGGACACCATGGGCGATTTAGCATGGCCAACTCACTTAACCTCCACATCTTTGGACTGTGAGGAGTAACTGGAGCACCCGGAGGAAACCCACGCAGACACGGAGAGAACGTGCAAGCTCCACACAGACAGTCGCCCGAGGGTGAAATCAAACCTAGGTCGCTGGTGCTGTGAGACAGCAGTGCCTCTACTTAATGTTTTGTTGAAAGACCAATGAACTCCAAGAACACAGTAATGATAAAATTTAGCAAGACATTCTCAGAACAGAAAAAGAATGAGTGCAAATCAAAAACACCGGAAGGTGGTGTGATCAAACATCTTGAACCAACTGTGACACACCTCTTCTCTTCCTGCTCCACCCTCCTCCTCCATTTTTAGGTGGGTCCTTTGATCTCACTTCGTCGAAAATGACAAGCAAGTGTATTACAGGTCATATTATATCACCAGCTGCAAGGACACATTTTGAAATGATCCCAATGGATTTTAACAGGAACTTGGATTCACTTAAATGTTTACTTAAAGCCTTTCATGTTTTAATCAGGGATCTTCCTGATAACCTGAAGAAAATCATGGTTAACCAATGTACATCACCTTCTTCTTCCTCTTCTTCCTCCTCTTCCTCAGTTGTTTCTGCAGCTAGTGAACGGGTTTCCACTTGTTTCTGTAAAGCTTCGAGCTTACTTTCATAGTCCTGGCAATAAAGACAGAAGACGTGTACAAGAAAGGACAAGAGCAGACAGCCAGTAAGGTTCCACAAGTCAAAGACTTTGCAGTGGCAGGGGTTCTAAACGTTCAACTGATTATTGCTTTTAATACAGGAATAGCATATCTTGCTGCAAAATCCAAGACCTGACTTGCATCATAAACTAAAACATATGTGCTTTCCTTCAATTAATAGCCTAAAAAGACTGAGCTAATTAACAGTCAGATAAAGGATCCTAGTTTTTCCTTCGGTACAATTAGATGCATATAAAGCATGAATAAATTGAATCAGAAATGTTTGATTATATTTGAAGTTTTTAACATCATCAAATATCTATAAAATGGTGGGGAGACGCACCCCACCTCCCCACCTCATTTCTGGGTTTAGGCTTCATAAACAGATGCCCAAATGGAAATCCACGAGTGGAAGGTTAGTACCCCTCTAAGCAAAAATGCAGTAAGATATAAGAGATTAACCAAAAAATAAATACAGCATAGGTTAGCACATTTAAGACTACAGATCACTCAGATGAATACATTTCTCCTTAATGCATTACAAAAATACTCTCAAAGGAAATGAAAGATGGATGTGGTGGATTTACATCACAATAGTATGAGTTTCAAACATTGGCATCCTTTCAGAATTATAATAGGGAATGGCAGTGACATTAATAAAGCCTCATTACTATAAGCAATTGAGGCAGAAGTCCTGAATCATACTGGGGGCTAGTGAAAACTAATGCTAATTTTCACTGCTACTTTATCCCGTTAATTAACTTGCAGAGTTAATTACTAATTACAGACTATGGTAATTTTAGTACTTTTGCAAATTAAAAGTTGTAATAGCTCACAGACAAGAATAAATGTATTAAGTATTAGAGAATCACGTCTGTTTGAAATCTGAGGTCATTTCAATGCTACAGTTTTCAAAATCCAAATGAACTTTTCTTGGAAAAGAAGTTCCGATGTTGACACAATTAGTTGTTCCATTAAATTGAAGGACTGATTTTAACAGGCTTGCTACAGTTTAAAAAGAAACTTGCAACAACTCTTCACATTATGTTGATGTTCCACATATACACAAATTCAAAGCTCATATCCCAAGGGAGTAGAAAGCAAATTACCTTCAAACATTACCTTGTGAAGATGCTCTATTTACCAGACAGCCTCTAGAAGGCAGTCATTCATTCACAGAGATAGTAATTGTGTTTGTTTTCAAAATACCAAAAACACAGTCATGAAATCACAGGCATAAAGAGTTCACTTTATGCTCGAAGTTCCAGTGTTCAAACTTCGATGCCCGCATGGTGAAACCTATCTGCAAATTAGGTTTCTTTCCAGCATTCACGTCGCATTGCTGTACATTGTCCACAAGTATTGGCTCTAGAAAACGATGAGAAATGAGAAAAGGAGTATGCCATTTGGCCTTTCCAGCCTGCTCTGCCATTCAATACGATCTGACAATCCTCATGCTCACTTTTCTGCCCCTTCTCCACAACCCTCGATTCTCCTACTGAAGAAGGATACATCTCAGCTTTAAATATACGCAAGTATCTAACCCATCAGTGGCAAGAAGTTCCAGAGACTCTCAACCCTCAGAAGACATTCCTCCTCATTTCAGACTTAACTTGACCTCCTTTATTCTGAGACTATGCCCTCTGGTCCTAGACTCTCCCATAAGGGAAGCATCCTCTCAGCCATTTACTCTGTTAAGCCCCTTAAGAATCCTACGTTTCGATTAGATCACTCTCATTCTCTCAAATCCCAGTGAGTAGAGACCCAACCTGTTTAACCTATGCTCAAGACAATCCCACCACACAAGAGATCATTCTCACAAACCTTCTCCAAACTGCCTCCAACTAAATAATATCTTTCCTTAAACAAGGGGACAAAAATATTCAGAGTACTCTAGCTACTCAGTCTACCTCCACATCTGCTGACGCTAACTGGTTCAACTTCTCTACTTCTGTGCTCTCAGACTGCACATTCAATATTCCAACACTGATGTATCAGAATATCCTCCCTCTGAACAACTCAGATCAGTTATTATGTGCAGTCTCAATTAAAACGTTCACATCTCCCTCCCCCCCCTACTCAGGCACCCGCTGACACAATGTGTGAAACTTCAACAAGTTTAATTGTAGAACTGAGCTTCAAAACAGACGATGTACCCATTAGGTAAAAAAAGTAGCATCTTTGTAACACAGCCTGCCTCCATCGCAGGTCTATCAACTACTAACTCCCCAACTCCAAATTCAATTTCCAGCTTCCTTCTTAAAATCCATCACACGTGCCAAGCACAGTTTAACTAAAGAAATTAAAGCTAAATTGGAAATTCTGTGAGCCAAACAAATACAGAAGATGGTAGAAATACATGAACAGTTGTTTGGTAGAACAACTTCGAGTCATACAGCACGGAAAGAGACCCTTCTGTCCAACAAGTCTGTGCCAACCATAATCCCATAAACTAAACTAGTCCCACCTGCCTACGTTTGTCCCATATCCCTCCAAACTTTTCTTATTCATGTACTTCTCCAAGCGTCTTTTAAATGCTGTAGCCTTATCGATCACATTATCTGGAAGTTCATTCCACATACAAACCATTCTCTGTGTAGAAAAGCTGTTTATTGCTGAAAAGAAAAGCTGTTTTGTGGAAGACTTTTATCCTGCTTTAAGCAGGATGATCACCATTTCCTCATTATCACTGAGGTACCTATTGTGCACCTACTCCACACAAACAAATGGCAGAAGAGGTTATAAACAGTTATTTTTAGAGAAGGAAAGATGGGAGAATATTTGAATGGAACTTCATAAGGATGGACTGGGGTGGCTCAATTCCCTGGACTCTCTTGCATTGCCCACATCAAGGTGACAGCTCAGCACCATCTTCTGAAATCTAATTAGGGATGGTCCATAAATGATGGCTTTGGTAGTGAGCCTCACATCCCACAAATTACTAAAATACAGCCCCAAAGGGTTGGAGTCAAGAGCACCACACCATCATTTCAACCCCAGCAACCCATCACAAAACCACAATGACTAAATTTAAACAACGGGATTGCAGGTTCTGCAACTTGTATTTATTTGAACTTGAGCTTGAGCTTTAATAGACTGGGGAGATGCTGAGAAGGATCCATCAACATCATGGGCTGGTAATAGGGCTGAATATATTCAGGAATCCCAACTTTGTGCAGATTATCAATCCACTCTTCAAATCTATTTTGAGAGAGTTAGAATCCAGTAAGCTCATCACACCATATACTCTATTTAGTTTCTTAAAATCTCTTCTGATGTTCAGAATTAATTTTGCTAGTTTGTGCTGAATACAGATTTGAATGGACGGTTGAAGACACTACAGAAGCTGCATGTTGTCCAAGCTTATGTGAGCGACACCATAAGGTACCATTTTATCAAGGGACTAGACAGGGCATTCAGCACAAAACAAGGCCATTCAACCCTACCAGTACATTCCAGTGTTTACATTCTATTTCAACTTCACTCCACTCTTTCCTCATCTAAATCTGGTACAGTATTGCAACCATCCATTCCCCGAACCCTCATTTGCTTGTGTAGCTGCCACTTAAATAAATCAACTATCCAGGTCACTTCAACCACTTCCTAAGGCAGTGGATTACACATTTTCACCAGTCACTGGGTAACAAAACAGCTTCTGAATTCCCCATTGGATTTCCAGTTGACTGTCTCATATTGAATGGCTTCTAAATTCTGCTCTTCCCTGTAGAAGGAAGCATCCTCTCTGCATTCACTCTGTCAAAAGCTTTCAAGATTTTGACTAGCCAAAGTAAGCTTCACCTCTGTCTTTTTTTTAAAGACAGGGTTCAAAACAGATTTACAAAGATGTTGCCAGGGCTGGAGGGTTTCAGAGGCTGAATAGGCTGGGGCTATTTTCCCTGGAGCACCCGAGACTGAGGGGTGACCTTGTAGAGGTTCATAAAATCACGAGGGCCGTGGATAGGGTGAATAGACAAGGTCTTTTCCCCAGGGTAGGGATGTCCAAAATGAGGAGGAAAGACTTAGTGACCCAAAGGGCAGCTTTCTCATGCAGAGGGTCGTGCATGTATGGAATGAGGAAGTGGTGGAGACTGCTACAATTACAACATTTAAAAGGCATCTGGATGGGTACATGAATAGGAAGGATTTAGAGGGATATGGGCCAAATGCTGGCAAGTGGGACTAGATTTATTTAGGATATCTGGTCAGTATGGACGAATTGGACCGAAGGGTTTGTTGCCCTGCTGTACATCTCTATGGCCCTATCAGGAGAAATAGAGTCAGTCTGTCAATCATTTCTTGATACATGTACACAAGGCATTTTTGGTATCATCTTTGTAAACCTCTCCAGTTACTGCACATCGTGTAGTTTCAATCATTATCACACATACAGTACTGTAAGGAGGTCCAACTAATGTCCCATACTGGTTAGTGCAACGGCCCTTCACTTCAAGCAGGTTAAAGCAGACTCACTCGACTGATTCCAGAGATGAGGGGTTTACAGGGACTGGGCAGTTTAGGCTTATACTTGCACTTAGAAGAATGAGAGGATATTTAATTGAGGTATATAAGATGCTAAAGGGGACTGACAACGTTGATAGAGAGTGGATGTTTCCTCATGTGGGGCAATCTAGAACAAGAGGACATAGTTTTAGGATAAGGGGTGGCAGATTTGATACAGAGATGGGGAGAAATTACTTCTCTCTCAGAGTCATGTACCTATGGAAGTTACTCTCCCGAGTGCATTGCATGCTGGCACATTGAGTAAATTTAAGGAGAAGATAAACAGATTTTTAATTAGCTAAAAAGGTAATGGAGAGTGGGCAGGAAAATGGAGTGGAGGCCAAGATGAGATCAGCCATGATCGTTTTAAAATGGCAGAGCAGGCTAGAGGGGCTGAATGGCCTGCTCTAGCTCCTGGTTCTTATTTCAATTCTATTTTATTAGAAATGAAACTCAAGTATTAGGTTTGCATTC